TTTTGTAGGCCCTTGAAAAGTAGCTGGGACCTGGGCACTGGTTAGCTAATACCCAGTACAGCCAAACTGTCCTGGGGGAGGCCTAGAATCTGAATTTTTAACAGGTTCCCCCAAGAACAGTGCATTTTATGAATATTTTAATTGGAGTTGAGTGCAAGTGAAGAAATTACCAAAGCCTCAGATTATGAGCTAATTTTGAAATAATGTCTTATCTCCTTAAAAGTTAAAAATTAGTCAAGGAGCTCTTAATTTCAAAGTAATTGTGACAGTGAATAGTTTTTTGTTTTGTTTTGTTTTTTTAATTTTTTTAAAAATTTTACTGGAGTATATAGTTGATTTACAATGTTGTGTTAGTTTCAGGTGTACAGCATAGGGATTCAATTATACATATACATATATTCAACTTTTTTTAGATTCTTTTCCCATATAGATTTTATTTTTTATAAAAAAAAATTTATTCATTTATTTTGGCTGCTCCGGGTGTTAGTTGTGGCATGTGGGCTCTTAGTTGCAGCAGGTGAACTCTTAGCTGTGGCATGTATGTGGGATCTAGTTCCCTGACCAGGGATCGAACCCAGGCCCTCTGCACTGGGAGCACAGAGTCTTACCCACCGGACCACCAGGGAAGTCCCTCCCATATAGATTTTAAAATTTAATTCTTTTTTAAAAAACTTTATTGGAGTATAGTTGATTTACAATGTTGTGTTAAGTTTCAGGTGTACAGCATAGTGATTCAGTTATACATATACATATATTCATTCTTTTTCAGATTAATAGTAAAGTGTTTTGACACTGATGCCACAAGGGGGTACCACCCAGGCTGGTAAACAAGGAAGGGAGTCAATTCTAGAGCCTCCTGGTACAATGTTTGTTCACGAATATACTGGGTTTCTTTGACCTATTTATAGATTAAAAATTGAATAGGTTTTAAAGTAGTTCTAGCTCACCAGTCTGCATTTTGCCTTCATTTTGTCTTTGGTCCTGCTTGTCCCCGTTGCCGAGGGTGAGCATTGGGCTGGGCAAGGAGACTGAAGGAAGAGAGGGGAAGGATGAGGCAGAGAGAAAAAACTGGGGGTGGGAGAAAGGAACTAAGGAGCAGAGAACTGGGAGACTTTTTTTTTGGCCGCAAATTTTATTAATCATCTTCCTAATCAGTCTTTATTTTTTTGGCCGAGCTGCATGGCATGCAGGATCTTAGTTCCTCAACCAGGGATCGAATCTGTGTCCCCTGCAGTGGGAACGCGGACCCTTAACCACTGGACCACCAGGGAAGTCCCTGGCAGACATTCTTTACTGCGATTCTTTTGCATATCAACATCAAAACGTCTTAGCTCGTGGCTCAGCCCACTCTGACCTCACACCAGTCTTCCCCCAGCCCTTATTCTCTTCCACCCGCTCCTCCCCACCTACCTGCTGGTTAAGTTATATTCCCTCTGAATCTGTCTACCATGGGACTGGGTCCGTACTGTGAAATGAGTCGTTTAGCACCAGCCTGGCATATAGTGAGAGGCAGTACTGAATTATTTCTGCTCCATGCAGAGCCTTTGTTCCAGCCATGGCTTCCTCACACACACTAGGTGCTTCCACCCCTGGGTCTTGATTCCTTCTCTTTGCCTGGAATGCCCTGCTTCTGATGGCACCCCCTTTATGAAGCCTTCCCGGGTCCTATGGGAGGCCCTATGGAAGTGGGGAACATTTCCTAATCCTCAGAGATCCTGCAGCTCTTTGGTAAAGCCACTGGTGGCCTTGACCCCTCTCTGCCTTGTGTCACGGCTGTGTGCCAGTCTCACACCCCTATCTGGGGTCAGCATCCCAAGCACAGGGTGTCTGACTAGCCTTTTTGAGGCCCATGATTCCTTGCATACTGCACTGCATATACCAAGCATGCAACCTCTGTAAAATAAACTATTTAGGTCATCTGCTGGGAAGAGCAGTGGAGAGTCCTGGGTTCAAGAAAATGTGCAACCACCTATTAGCCTTGGGAATTTCCACATTTCATATTTTTTAACTATCAAATGGAGACAGTTAGGCTTTTTTTGGGGGGGCGCGCCCATTTGTGTATTTATTTATTTATTTACTTATTTGGTACGCAGGCCTCTCACTGTTGTGGCCTCTCCCGTTGCAGAGCACAGGCTCCGGACGCGCAGGCTCAGCGGCCATGGCTCACGGGCCCAGCCGCTCCGCGGCACGTGGGATCTTCCCAGACCGGGGCACGGACCCGTGTCCCCTGCATTGGCAGGCGCACTCTCAACCACTGCGCCACCAGGGAAGCCCTGTGTATTTATTTTTTGGCCATACCACGTGGCATGTGGGATTTTAGTTCCCCGACCAGGAATTGAGCCCGTGCCCTCCGCAGTGGAAGCATGGATTTTTAACCACTGGACTGCCAGGGAAGTCCCTAGTCTTTCTTAATTATTTCATTCCCTGAGATACACCCAAGTCACGTCAATTTGATTAGAATGTTCACAAACCAGGACTTCCTTGGTGGTCCAGTGGTTAAGACTCCAAGCTTCCACTAGGCGGGGCACAGGTTTGATCCCTGGTCTGGGGGAACTAAGATCTCTCATACCATTTGGTGAGGTCAAAATAAATAAATAAATAAATAATGTTCACAAACCTCTTGCCATTATGTTCAGATACTTGTTTTGGTTGGTTCCAGACAGCTGAATACTGATGTTGCCAGTTTTCCAAAGAATAGTCCCATTCTGGAGAACTGGAGGTCTTTAATAGCCACAAGAGATGTTAACAACCTAGCACAGGACCAGCACATCAACGGCACAGGATTCTCTTACTGTTTCATCCCATCTTCTTTTTTTTTTAAACAGATTAAAAAAAAAAAATTTACTTATTTATTTTTGGCTGCATTGGACCTTTGCTGCTGCACGCGGGCTTTTCTAGTTGCAGCAAGCGGGGGCTACTCTTCATTGTGGTGCATGGGCTTCTCATTGCATTGGCTTCTCTTGTTGAGGAGCATGGGCTCTAGGCATGCAGGCTCAGTAGTTGTGGTTTGCAAGCTCTAAGGCACAGGCTCAGTAGTTGTGGTACACAGGCTTACTTACTCCGAGGCACGTGGGATCTTCCCGGACCAGGGCTCGAACCTGTGTCCCCTGCACTGGCAGGTGGATTCATAACCACTGTGCCACCAGGGAAGCCCCTCATCCCATATTCTGATTGTGGTCTTCTGTGGGTTTGGCCTCTAGGTTGTTCTATAACAGAAGCCCCTGTAAGCCCTTTTGGTTAACAGTCAGATCCTTCTGATTTTTAAAAGTATCATCCACATAATTTGAACAACGCCACTACATTTGGAGCCAAGTGGTAAGTTGTTTATTAAACACAATCAGTTTTCTAGGTTCTTGGGTTACAAGCCTCTGCCTCTGGGGTTAGAATCTTGTTTTCAGGGCAATTACCACTGGCTCAGTCCTGCATCTCATTGGTCCTCCTCTTCCACAAACACCTCCCTGGCTCCAGGGTGGCCTCTATGTGGGAGGCTAACCTTTATTTACAAAATGGGCTGGCAACCAAGAGGGGAAGGGTTGACTCCTAACGACCATTCTCAGAGTTTGAAGTCTGACCAGTTCATAATCCACAAATGGAAGATTTTGTTAACAGAATGGCCCTAAGAGCAGACTTTGATACATTACTCATTGCCCTTTGTCAAGGGATGGCCTCCCAACATTAAGTATCAGCTTCTCCAACATTTTAGTAACTAGATTTTTAATACTACAAACCTATTCTCTAGAAAAATTACTTTCGTTATGCCTTTTCTAGGGTTTGTGAATTACATCAAGTCGCACACCATACTTATCATGTTGTCACGGTCCTTAAGACCTGTTAAGAAGGGAAGCCAAGGATTTCCAAACCAACCCTGCTCTGTCATCTCACAAGGCAAGTTCCTCCACAACCACTAAACCACTCAGGCAGTTGACCAAGTGTCTGTCAGCCAAGCAGCATCTTCTTTCAGATTAATAGGACAGCATGGCTCTGGCTGAATGCTTACAGGACAGCTGACGTGGGGGGCACCTGGAGGGACAAGCTCACTAGTTTTCCTGAGGCCCCACGCGAGGAGCTGCAGGTGCAGCTGTAACCCCTCCTGCCATTTCTGTGCTTCCTCCACACATACAGGATTGACTATGACGATGTATTAAACAGAAATCTGCAAGTCAGATGTTTCTGAAAACAAGTTTTATTTAAATAAGGGTTTAAATACATTACATAACATTAAAACTGAAGGGGAAAACACCCCCCCCAAAACCCCAAAACCAGTTTGTTACTTCACGTGGCATCGGGCAGCTGTTGCTAGTAAGCTGCGAGCGCTACAGCTACATGACTGATACATCGGTTTGAAATTTGTTCCCTTGTCAAAAGTTTAACTCTGATAGAAGGTTGGCCTCACATTCTAGTTTGGACATCGATCAGCTAGGATATGTCTGGTCAAAAAGACCTTGGTGGCAAGCCAGATGTCCCATCACCTCAGTAGAATGAAGGTGGCTGCTCTAAGCTCTGCCCACCTGGTCACGTTGGAGACACCAGGGGATCTTTCCCCTGATAATCAAAGACTCCCTCTAGCAGTACAGCTGCCGTCGCTGCCTCACCCCATCCTCCACTCTCAGCTTCACCGAGGGCTGTTCAGGTGGCGACATTCTCTTAGGGCAGGGAACTCCGTAGAGGGATTGCTGAGGAGCTTCTGGCCAGACATAGCCACCTGTGATCTTAGGGCTCTGGACTTGGCTGAAACATCACTGTTATTGCTTTGTTTCAGGCCGGACACTGCCAGGTGCCTACTGCTTGACCTCTGTTTAAATGAGGGACTTAAAAGACTAGACAGCATGGCTCTTTTCAGTTTATTGCATGAAGGAGTTACACTAGTCCAAGTTAAAAGCAGACCCCAAATGGTTACATTACACAAGCTGTGAGGTTTTTAAACTTGTGACAAGGGACAGGAGGAAAATTCTACTCATTGCAAGGAAATCCTCACTTAAGCTTCAGTGAGCCAGGAGCACTTAAAACCCATGAACCTTCAGCTGATCGTCCTTAGCCAGTCCAATCTGCAAAGGAAAAAAGGGCAGTTTTAAAGAGGAAATAGAGTTAAAGCCTCCATTTCTGATGACAACAATCCTGTCTTCCTGCTTCTACACTGGTCAAGAGAAGTCCCAGAGCCCAGATGCTCTCAACTCAGAGTACACTCAGTTAACCACCAGTGGTGTAATAGGATTTTAGCACTTAGGAACAGCCAACCAGACATCCTGCTTGTTTTACTATCTGTCTGCATGCAATTGCACCCTTAAAGCAGATCCATGTAAACAGTAAACTTAAGGCAGACAAATCCCTTGCTTTCAGAAATACATTTTGTCTATGAACTTCAAAAACTCAACTGTTTGGCTTAGCCTTAGAAAACAAACTTCTACATCTCCAGCAGAAACTGACTAGACTAGGCAGATCTCAGATTAGTTAGCCAGGTAAGAGGCACAAATGTACTAACAGGAAGTGACAACTCACCTCTACGAGGAACTGGCATATGTTCTTGCGCTGGTCACCCTGTAGCTGAATTACTTCTCCATATTCTGGATGCTCAATTACAGTACCATTGCAGGCAAATTTCTGCAAGGACAATGCAATCAAAACAAGTTAGGCAGCACAACGGCCTGAATGCCACTAATAACCCTTTTCAGAAAGTAATCTGAATTACTTCTCCATGTTCTGGATGCTCAAGTACAGTACCATTGCAGGCAAATTTCTTCTTAAATGCCTTCACTAGTTTCTTTTTATCGTAATCATCAGCGATCCCTTGGACAGTAGTAAGGGTCTTCCTGCCGTTTCTCTGTTGAATTCTTATATGGATATAATCCTCAGTGCCAGCAGGAAGCAGATCATCACCCTTACTTGCATCAGCAAAGGGGTCTGGGAAGAAAGGTCAAGCTCGTTTAGTGCTATTGTGCTCAGATCCCACTGGATCTCTTCCGTGTGCAGAAACTGATACTGAAATCGTCAGGGCCTGGTCAGATCAGATATGCTCTTTGTTGGCTCTTCTCGAACAGGTCAGTCCGGGACGGCCGGCTTCCCCAGTCCGGGAGAAAGTCTGGGCTTCCTGCCCCAGGCCCGCCCTCGAAAGCCGATCACATGTCGGGGGAGCCAGGGTTGGCCGGCGGCGCCCCACCCAGCTGATGCAACCGGCCGGAACCCAAGATCCGAGGCGGGGCCACGCTTCCCGCCCCATTGGCGCGCGCAGCTGTCACTTATGGCTGGCACCGCCTCTCCCTCCCGGCTCCGTGACAACGGCGGTGACGTATGGGATGTGACGAAAAGGTGGCGGGAGGGGCGGGTGTGGCCCGAAAAGGCCAGGGAGCCATTAGTAAATGCGCCACCCGAGACGCTGGACCCGCCCAAGGGCTGACCTCCCGCCCGCTCCTTCCGGTCGCGCTCGGGGGCCAACCCCAGGGCCCAGGTCGCGGCCCCACTGCCTGCGAGCCCGGACATCTCTCCTCTATCCAAGTTCACTAACGTACGGAACGCTTAGCAGCTTTCCGGGCCCTGGCTGCGGACCCGGAGCGCCCCGCCCGGGCCTTCCTCCTCTTGGGACCTTTCCGGGACTTACCGAAAGAGTGGAGGTTCTGGATAGCGGACATACGATACGATTCCTTTTCCTCGGTGGAAACGGCCTGCGGAAGGCGGCGGCTGGAGAAGGCGGGCGCGGGGGACGGAGCGTCGGGAAGCTTGGGGGCTCGAGGGGGAGGCTGCTGAGTCCTCGGCGGCTGCTCAGTGACTGGGGCGGAGGGGCGGTGCCTGTATTCACTTATGTAGCCGCCCTGTGACGCCAGCGCGCTGCCCTCACGTCCAGGCCCCACCCACGGCATTGTGCCCCCTGCGCCCGGGCGCCGCCGCTTCCAATTGGTCCGGAGGCGGGGACGCGGGACGGCGCTCGCGCAGGAACTGTGTGCTGCGAGAGGGCGTTCTCTCGACTAGGGGAGAGATGGAAGGGGGAGGGAAGCGTTGGTTCGTCTAGGCGCCTGCGCAGTGCTAGAGGAAGGTGGCCGGTGCAGACAACTGGCGGAGGTTTCTGCGCCTGCACCTTATGTTCTCTGGCCTGTTCCGCCTTTTTGACCCTGTTGCAGGGAAGGGTTTTTTCCTGGGGTAGATTGGCGCTCCTTAGAGGGGATTTAGATGCTGACCCTCCCAAACACGACAAATTCCCACTATCTCATACCCACCCAACTACCCACTTACTCCCTACTTTGCAGATTTGCTCCGTAACAGATTTAGGGCGGCACTTTTTCAACGTACAATAGTATAACCAAAACCTTAACTTTATCATTTAGATTAATTTATCATTTAGATGAATCAAATCTAAAAATGGATTAATCTACTTTAAACGTATCGTTTAGATCGTCTAAGGAAAGAATTCCCAGATCATTAGCACAAGTTCAAGGGAGAGTAACGCTGGTTCTGGGGGTCAAGAAGAATTCATGCACTTTTGTCATACAAATTGTGTAGGGTTGAGCCTTCCCAGAGCTTAGTTGAACTATTTGCTTCAAAACAGTCAACCTTTCTCGCACTTTCAATTTATTAATTGAAATGCTCATAGTTGCAGGGGTACCTAGTGTGGTTTTAGACTCCACATGCTTCCAGGGACCAGGGAGGTAAGGTAAAGGAGTGCAGACAGCCAAGGGTGGTGTAACGGGGTGTGGTGAACGCTGGGATGAAAATCAGAGGCTGCAGCGGCTCCAGCCCATTGTGCTAGATCTTCTTTTTCAAGAGAACCCTGAAATTCAGATGTTTCTATAAAATCTTTTGATTTCTAATCATTGCCAATAAATTTAATTTTGGAAAAACACTGTGCAAGGCAAACATAAAAATGTATGCTGGCCCCAAGGACTGTGGGTTTATGTATCTTGATGGTCAGGGTCACTGGCACCAGTGGAGTCTAATGGGAGGGAGAGACAATAAATAAGATGACAGATTGTGACAGGTGCCAAGAAAGAAGTAAATAAGGTGACATGAGAGAGTGACAAGTGTCACGGTCTGAGCATGGGTTGGAAAAGAATTTCCAGACACAAGGCAGAATGTCAGGAAGAGTTTATTAAAGAGAAGGGTCGCTGCAAGAACAGTGGGCCGACTTCCTGGTAGCCAGGGAAAGTCGACGATGAGCATGGGTTGCTTGTCCGTTTTTATAGCCAGGGACTTGTGAGTCACCTGCCAATTGGGTAGGGTCCACATGTTTCCAGTGGGATGAATACCTTCCTTTATATGGGATGGGAAAGGAGCAAGGCATGCTGCTTAGGAAAGCTCAGAGATGTTGCAATGGTCTCATTGTGACAGAGTGACAAGGGTCTGGTAACTCTCTGTTCCGGTGATGTTGGCCCTTTGAGTTTATCTTGTTCTTTGTCCTTGGAGCACATCACAACAAGGGCTTCAGGAGGCCTCTGAGGAGGTGACTTCCCAGTTGATGCTTAAAGAGAAAGAGCCCATAACATGGAAAACCCCAAAGGAGGAAAAGCTGGGTGTACTTGATAGTTTTTTTTTAATTAATTTTTATTGGAGTATAGTTGCTTTACAATGTTGTGTTTGTTTCTACTGTACAGCAAAGTGAATCAGCTATATGTATACATATATCCCCTCTTTTTTGGATTTCCTTCCCATTTAGGTCACCACAGAGCACTGAGTAGAGTTCCCTGAGCTATACAGTAGGTTCCCATTAGTTATCAGTTTTTTTTTTTTGCGGTACGCGGGCCTCTCACTGTTGTGGCCTCTCCCGTTGCGGACCACAGGCTCTGGAGGCGCACACTCAGCGGCCATGGCTCATGGGCCCAGCCACTCCACGGCATGTGGGATCTTCCCGGACCGGGGCACGAACCCGTGTCCCCTGCATCGGCAGGCGGACTCTCAACCACTGCGCCACCAGGGAAGCCCAGCTATCAGTTTTATACATAGTATCAATAGTGTATATATGTCAATCCCAGTCTCCCAATTCATGCCCCCACCCCCCCTTCTCCCCTTGGTTTCCCTACGTTTGTTCTCTATGTCTGTGTCTCTCTATTTCTGTTTTGCAAGTAAGATCATCTATACCATTTTTCTTGATAGTTTTTTTGATTCCGTATTTACTAAGTAGTCTTTTGAATAATCATTTGGCTTCCTTGATATCAGGAATTGGGGGACCATGGCTAGAAGGCATGGGCATCCCAGTCTCACACCCATCCCAGAAGAAGCTAAGGACACAACCTTCCTCCACCTGGAAGCCTCTACACTCATAGACGTGGCTGTGCTTGAAGGGGGTTTGGGGAGAGAGAGTGAAAGAGTCAGAGCTGGCTCCCCCAGTGTGCACACATATTTTGTTATAAGAAAATTTAAAATAGCAATGTGGTCCAGCTTATCTTTTCCTTTTAGGAAAAGATCCTTTCTATGTCATAGTGAAGAAATCTTTTCTCTGCCTCCAGTTTATAAAGATACCCTGTTTTTCTCCTGAAAGTTTTAAAGCTTTGCTTTTTCACATTTAGGTCTTTTTTTAAAAATTGGGATATAGTTGCTTTACAATGTTGTGTTAGTTTCTACTGTACAGCGGAGTTCCCTGTGCTATACAGCAGGTTCTCATTAGTTATCTATTTTGTACATATTAGTGTATATATGTCAATCCCAGTCTCCCAATCACATTTAGGTCTTTAAACCACCTGGAATTGTGTGTGTGTGTGTGTGTGTGGGTGTGTGTGAGAGATGTGAGAGAGGGGTCTAATTCTTTTTCCTATGTGGATAGCCAATTGTCCCAGCACCATTTATTGACTAGTACCTGATTTGTCCTGCCTTCTCTATCATAATTGTATTTCCATTTATGCATGGGTTCGTTTTCGGACTCTCTGTTCTGCTCCACTGCTCTATTTATCTCTCAATTATAGGAGTTTTATAAAAAGTCTCTGTGCCCAATAGCATGAGTCCTCTGTTTTGTTCTTCAGGGTTATCTTGGCTTTTCTTGGTCCTAGTTCCCCTTCACCTCATGGTGTATCACCGCTCCCCACGTTCTACAACGTTCTATGAAGCACCCGATCTCTCTCGTTGCAGGGTCCGTACGTGCTGTCCCTTTTCTTCCCTCCTCTTCTCAGTCTGATATCTCCCACTCATCCTCCAGTACTCAGCTGGGAGTCATCTCTGTGCCCCCGCTTCCTCTCTTTGGCATTAATCACACTGCATTGTGCTTGCCTGTTCCTTGAACTGGCTACATAAATTGCTGGGCCTGGTACAAGATGACAGCGTGAGGCTCTTTGTTCAAAAATGATTCAGAATTTGAAGACAGTGACAGCAGAACATTAAGCCAAGCACAGGGCCCTCCTAAGCGTGGGGCCCTGTGTGATGGCACAGGTGGCATGCCCGTGGTCTGGCTTTGCCAGTCCCCTTATTTATCTCCCTGTTAGACTGTGAGCTCAAAAGAATAGGGTACGTGCCTCTCTCCTCTGCTGTGTATGTGCAGTAGGTGCCTGCACACAGTGGCTGCTCAATGCTTGTCGAATGAACAGGCATTGTAGGTGCTACCAGTTAGGGTTCTTGGCCCTCCTTAATCAATAGAAATTGATAAGAGGCCAGGCAAGAATTTCAGGCAAGGCTGTACTGGGGGCCCTGCTGTAGTATGGCGGGAGCAAAAACAAGCAACCGGTTCCCTTGATTGCTCCTGAGGAGGGGCGAGCTGGTTCCCTATATGGGGTGAGGTAGGGGTGTGTCCAGGGGTCGGGCCAGAGTGGCGGCTCAGGAGGTCTGCCCACCCCTTTGGTGGTATTGAGTGCAGGGGGCATGCGCAGTACCCTGCTTTTGCTCCCGGGTCCTCAGAAGTGGCAGTTGGGTTTTTGGTCTTTTTGTATCTTGTTATCCATAATTTGCCCCAACTGTACATGCATGCAGTTATTTTTAGTCCCTCATAGTTTCTTTCCATTCTGTTGCTCTAGGAGATGTTTGTTCAGGTGCAAACACTGCAGCAAAGAGTCCCAGGTCCCAACTTGTCTCATAGTTGCTCAGTTACTAGGAATGGCCAACCGCTGGCTGCAGGCTGCAACCTCTGCTGCCCTCTTAGAGCGTCCTGGCGTGAAGCACTGAGAGAAGGGCCTTTTCAGAGGCCTGACCCTGGGCTCTAAAGGGAGCTTGTGGACCTGGCTTCCCGGTGCAGGGCAGGGAGGGTGGCCCTAGGTAAGCATGTTCCCCAGCTCCTCTTACAGGGACCTGGTGTCCGGTGCCAGACCTGACCTCGGTGCACTGTAAACAGTTATTGCCACACACACACACACACACAGGCTTTGCTTTGGCCAGCCTACTGTTCAGAGGTCAGGCCAGGAGCAGGTGGCTAGGAAAGTGGGACACCCAGGCCTTGGTTACCACCAGCTTCCTGGGCGAACCCCGTTCGCCTCTCAGGGCTTCCATTTTATCCCCTAGAAGGAGGACTCAGTAATTTCTAAGGCCTTTTCCAGGTCTAAAGTCTGTAGCTCTGTGTTCCCGTTGGGGACATTTCCAAGGAGGGTCTATAAGAGTCCACTATCCAGGGACTTCCCTGGAGGTCCAGTGGTTAAGACTTTGCCTTCCAATGCAGGGGGTGTGAGTTTGATCCCTGGTAGGGGAGCTAAGATCCCACATGCCTTGGGGCCAAAAAACCAAAGCA